ACAACCTCAGATATGCAGATGATACCACTCTAATGGCAGATAGTGAAGAGGACCTAAAGAGCCTCTTGCTCAGGGTAAAAGAGGAGAGCGCAAAAGTGGTCTTGAAGCTCAACATCAAAAAAACTAAGATCATGGCATCCGGCCCCATCACTCCTTGGCAAATAGAAGGGGAATTCGTGGAAGTAGTGACAGACTTCACGTTCCTGGGATCCCAGATCACCGCAGACTGTGACAGCAGCCATGAAATTAAAAGACGCCTGCTCCTTGGGAGGAAAGCGATGGCGAACCTAAACAGCATGATAAAAAGTAGAGACATCACCCTGCCAACAAAAGTCCGCATGGTCAAAGCAATGGTATTCCCAGTAGTCATGTATGGCTGCGAGAGTTGGACTATAAGGAAGGCCGAGCGCCGAAGAATAGATTCTTTTGAACTATGGTGTTGGAGAAGACTTATGAGAGTCCCTTGGACTGCAAGAAGATCAAATCAGTCAATCCTAAAAGAAATCAACCCTGACTGTTCCCTGGAAGGCCAGATAATGAAACTGAAGCTCAAATACTTTGGCCACCAAATGAGAAGGGAGCACTCACTGGAGAAGACCCTGATGCTGGGAAAGATTGAAGGTCAAAGAAGAAGGGGACAGCAAAGGATGAGATGGTTAGACAGTGTCATCGATGCAACGAACATGAAATTGAGCCAACTTCAGAGGATGGCGGAAGACAGGAGGGCCTGGCAGGAGCTGGTCCATGGGGTTGCGAAGAGTTGGACTCGACTGTGCGACTGAACAACAACAACAGCAAAACTCCACGTAAGGCCTAAAAATGTCCTGGAATCACAATAGATTCCCCAGTGTCAGGTTCAATAGAGGAGTTGCAGTCCACAGCGATTAATAAGAATAGATTGCTTTATTACAAGTCACTTTTGGTACACTTTCATGGTCATTGTCAGGATTGAAACTCAAAGCCAAGCATGTACAGATATAGACAGTTCAAACAAAAAGGGTTAGCCAATGAATACAGTTACAACTCAGCAGGA